TTTTTTTTTTGGTACCGGGGATCGAACTCAGGTCCTTGCGCTTGCGCAGCACGCGGCGAAACCACTGAGCTAAATCCCTGGCCCTGTATTAATATTATTCTTAAACAGATGTATTACTAGGATGGTAAAGCAGCTACATCTTCATGTGACTTTGATCCAATGATACTAAATCGGTGTCAGTTTCATCATAATAAAAAATTGAGTAAAAACATAACTGCTGAAACAATCGTTTAAGAGAAGTGACAGGAAGATGCCTCTAGCTGGGGAACCAAGTGATTTCACACGAGGTGAGGTTGGGAAGGGTAGAATTTGGAAGAGCAAGAGCAGGAGTCAAGTGTGGGGCAAGGCCTGTAGCCCCAACTCTCAGGAGGCTGAGGCAGGAGGACGTCAACTTTGAGGCCAGCTTGGGCTACTTAGTGACTTAACGGGGCCTTGTCTCAGAAAACACATGCCAACAAGGACTGAGATGTGGCTTAGTCTGAAGGCCATGAGTTCAAGCCCCAATAATGCCAAAAACAAAGACGTGGAGAGGTATCTTTTTCTTAGAGAGAAATCTAGAGACTTTGTGAGTTAAGCCTGAAAGAGGGCTTCGGACGCTGTCACCAGCACTTGGTGGGTTTGGGCTGATGAGCAGAGCAGCTGGAAGACCACTGCTGCCTGTGTTCTGGGGGAGGGAGTCACAGGGTCCCAGGCTGGGGTGGAGCGTTGGCGTTGTTGCCACTGTGTTCTCCCTCTGTTAAAATTCTCTTCTGAGTGGAGGTTGGGGGGAGACCAAACGCACTGTTTAAATGAAGGCTCCGGGTATCTTTTTTGGACTTTCCTGTGAAGGAGATGTGTGCAGTGTTTTCTCTCCCCTCCCTTCTCCCCTCTGTCTCTCTGTCTCTCTCTGTCTCTCTCTCTTTCTCTTCTGTTGGGTGCTAGAAATGAAACCAGGGCTTCATACATACTAGGCAGTCACTCTACCCTTCCCTGGGCCGTGAGCCCAGCCCTGTTTCCCCCTCTCTTTCTGCCTTCCTCACCCAGGTAGAGCCCTCTCCACTGATGGGAGATGGTGCCTGCAGAGCCTCCACCCAACCCCGACCCCAGTATCCAGTGCAAACACACACAGGGTTATCACACACACGTATACACACACAAACACACACAATCTTGGGTAAGCACGCCCTGTTGGCTCCCTGAAGTCTCCAGGGACTTGTGGATCTCCTCGGTTCCACACAGGCCTGAGAGTGAAGGTCAGGCTGGGGCCAGTGGGCTCGGAGCCCCTTACTGGCGTCTCTCAGAGCAGCTGGCACTTTTCTGTCCTTCTCCAGCCCACAGAGCATACTTGTCCAGTGGGAGAACCTTGTGTTCCGTCTCAAACTTCATGCGTCTCTGCTTCCTTGGAGAAGAGAGGTTGGGGATGGTGACAGAGCCTCTTGATTTTGGTCCTATTCTTCCATTTCCCCAGACAGACTTAAACTTCCAGACAGCTAACAGGCAAATCTCTGATAGAACTTGCTTTTTGTTTGTTTTTCTTCAGTGCTAGGCAACTGCTCTTCCATTGAGCTATACCTTCAGCCCATCATTCTTTAATGTCAGCCAATTTTTGTTCAAATTATTTTTCTTTTTTTTCTTTCCCCTTCCCCTCCCTATATACAAAAGCTTTGGTTCCCTTTTTTCCTTTCTATTTTCCCTTTTTTTCCTGTCCCTTCCTGCCTTTCTCCCTCCCTCCTCCCTTATATTTTCCTATTTATTTCAGTGTTTTCTTTCTTTGTGTGAGAGAGGATCTTGTGATGTAGCCCAGACTGGCCTTAAACTCATGATCCTCCTGCCTCAGTCTCCCTAGCATGTACTGCCACTTTCTATTTTGAATTTTGAATTACTGGTTTGGTAAGATTAATTCTCTAATGTTTATTCTTTATGATGTTTATTCTTTCTAATGTTTATTCTTTTATGAGGAGACCATCTGGTACAGTGAAGGGGACTTTGATATCTGATATATGTTTATAATAGTTACCATTTCTTTCTTTTTCTTTTTCTTTTTTTTTTTTTTTTTGAGACAGGGTCTCCAGTTCAGACTGGCCATGAACTCACTATGTAGCCCCAGCTGGCCTTGAACTCATGGTGAGCCTTTCGAGCGCTGGGATTACTAGTGTGTGCCACCACGCCCTCTTACAAGTTACCATTTTTTTAGATCTCTTTTTTTTCCGGTACCGGGGATCAAACTCAGGACCTTGCATTTTTGAGAAAGGTGCAGTGCCACTGAGCTACATCCCCAGCCCTCATTTTTTAGGTGTTATTGAGACTGTTAATATTGTACCAACTCAAGCTCATTGTCTCACAGAATTGAAGAATGAAATCAGGGACCAAAGGAAGCAGTTAGGGAATGTTTTTTGGAAATAACAAGAAAAATAGCTCTTGGTGGGTATTCACCAGGAAGAAGTCCCAGAAGTGGAATTTTTTCAGTGCATTTTCTTGGTTTTGGCCTTCTATAGATAAGCAGAGTGTGGGAACTTGTTTAAAACAGGTGGCTCTGTGGGTTTAGGGTCTAAATAAAATGACAGTAGTTACTGAGCTGGCCAGGTACAAGGAGACTGAGTTCAAAGGAAACCAGTTACTCTCAGGTCTAAATTCCCTGAATGCCAGCCTGGAAGTAGGGAGGAGCTGTTAGCCAACTTAGGGACCTCTGCCTAGGCACCTTCTTCCCAGGAGGAGGACCCTCATCTGTCCATGTGTATTGTAACTTTCCTCCTTCCTCCTGTGCTTTATTTTGTTTTTACATCTCTCAATTTAACTAGCTGCATGACTCCAATTAGCTCTTAACTCGAATTAGCTACTTTCTTTTTATCCAGCCGGCTGTACCTTAGGCTGCCTATTTACTAAGTGCCTACGTATAGGCTGACTAACTAAACTGTAGATCACACTCTGTTCCATTAGGACTACTTGTCTTGTGCTTGTTCCTCTGAATTAGATGATGAAAATATTTTATTTAATTAATTAATCATTTTTTTTTCTAGTACTGGGGATTGAACTCAGGACCTTGTGCTTGTGAGGCAGGTGTGGTACCACTGAGCTAAATCCCACCCTTGAATTAAATCTCTGCCCCCCCCATATATGTATTTTAGTACAGGGGATTGAACTCAGGACCTTGTGCTTTCGAGGCAGGAGCCAGAACCACTGAGCTAAATCCCCACCCCACCCCCCAATTTTTTTTTTTTTGGTACCGGGGATTGAACTCAGGTCCTTGCGCTTGTGCAGCAGGCGGAGAAACTGCTGAGCTAAATCCCTGGCCCCCCAAAAATATTTTAATGGTTAAATGGGTTGTGAAATAAATAAAAGATTCTACTGCTTTTGGGTTCTATCGTATGGTCAAAGAAAAGGTTAAAAAGAAAGAGCTTGGCTAAGGTAGGAAAATATGTTTGTGTAGGTGAATAGTAATGTAATCTGTTCAGTCATTAGCTTAATAAATATCTGTCACTAGTGAGTTACAGGCAGTTTGCCAGGGTCTAGGAGATATGCATGGTGTACATCTCACAAATCAGGGTCATTACAAGGGTGTGGTAACTGCTATGCTTGTGAAAGTACCAGACACAATAAGGTCACGTAGAAGTGGGTATTGTACCTGGGGCCCCTGCAAAGTGTCCTCCCACTGTACAGAATCATCCTCCATGGCAGGCTTGAGGGTGACTGGCTTGGCTTGGAGGGGACAGGGCTGGAGACAGAGCCCGAGGTCCAGGCCAGGCACATGCTCTGCCCCCAGCCAAAGCCCCACCATGCTAGTCATCAGTTTCCAGCTTTGAGACAAGGCATCTGGGAAAATAGACCTCAGCAGACTCTAAAACATCTTGCTTTTCTCTGGTTTACCAAGCCAGTCCCATGCAATGAGTCTATGAGAGAATCTTCTAGGTCCATTTTTGGGTGTGGCATGCAGGGCTGGAGGAATGTAGAGCTCTGCCTCTTAGCAGCTGAATTTGTACTTGGATGTTATTTGACATGATCATCTGTTGACCAACAGGTCCTTCAGCAGGAGACCCCACTCTGAGGTAAGGAGCAGTGGCCCAGGGACATTTCCTTCAGCAAGAATAAAGAACAATACAAGAACCCGGGGCTACAGACTTTTCAATTGTTCCTTTCCTCTTTTACTGTGTTCCCATTCTTTCTTTTTGCCTTTTGCAGCTTAATTTTCCGATCATTGTTTTTCTATCTTTCCTGCTGTATCCCGTGGTTCCTCTTTAACTACCTTTGCCTGTTCCTCTTCTCTCTTTCAGTCACATTTCTTAGAGCCCTTATGAAATGTCCCGAGAAACTGTCACTTCAACCTTACTTCCTGCTTTAAATCCTCTGCCCGTTTCCCAGACTCATTCTACCAGGAGGTCACGCGGGAATTGTGTCATCTCAGGAAGGAGACCGGGGGTGCTGACTGTGGAACAGCTGCATGTGGTGCCTCGGGAGTGGCAGGAACCTGAAAGTGCAAGAGCTTACTTAACTGTGTCTGCAGAGCAAAGTCAGCACAGTCCTGCACTTCCTGGGCAGAAGAGCTCTCTGCCTCTCTCTCTCTTTCGCCATTATTTTCAGATGGGCTCTTGCTCTGTTGGCCTTGAGCTCTACATTCTCCTGCCTCAGCATCCCAAGTAGCTGGGATTACACCATACACTGCCACCTCTGGCTTAGGTTACTCTTTTCTCAGACTGTCCGCCTAGAAGATTCTTTTGAGACTTTAGCACTTGCTAAAATCTAGTTACCACTAAGTGTGAAGCAGGAAGATTAGCAGATGACAGGAACCTTAAGGGGAGGCTCGGCGGCCCTTACACACCACACTGCAGCCCACACTCAGGCCGTGGGGAGCCGGCCTCACTCCCGAGGTGGGCAGAAGCCCTCCCCCCGGCGGGGAAGGACACTCAGGATGGGAACGGCCCGAAGGCAGCACAGACACGGCCTAGGAACAGGTCCAGACCCAGGCTTTGCACCTGCCCGAGAGAGGGCGTGGGCTGATGGCCCAGGACCCGGACCCTGTGAGAGCCCAGGCTCTTTGGTGTTTCAGGAGGAGGATCGAGCCCTGGCAGTTCGAGGCCTCCTTCGACCCCCGGCAGCTGCGGAGAGAGACCTGTCTGCTGTCCGAGGTGCAGTGGGGCACGAGCCCCAGGGCCTGGCGGGGGTGCAGCCTGAACACAGCCCGGCACGCGGAGGTGAGCTTCATGGACAGGCTCACCTCGGAGGGGCGCCTGCGCGGCCCCGTCCGCTGCTCCATCACCTGGTTCCTGTCCTGGAGCCCCTGCGGGGCCTGCGCCCAGGCCATCGGGGAGTTTTTGAGGCAGCACCCGAACGTGAGTCTCGTCATTTACATCGCACGGCTTTTCTGGCACGTGGATGAGCAGAACCGGCAAGGACTCCGGGACCTGGTGACCCGTGGCGTGCGCATGCAGGTCATGAGCGACCCAGGTAACACAGGGAGCAGGAGGCCACGTGGGCCGGGGCCGTGGCAGTGGCTGCTGTGTGGACAGGAGCTGGTTGCCCCGGGCTGGAGCCTCAGCCGTGAAAAAGCCCAAGCTGATGTGAGAAAGGTGCAGGGCAGACTCGCAGGGCGAGGGTCCTGGGCGCCGGGCCTGCTCTGTCCCCTGGGTGCTGGGTGGGGGTCAGGATGCTGCCCGGGCCACACGCGCTGTGGAGGGAGCTGCACACCCAGCCCTCGAGCATCCTGGGGCCCGGTGTGCCCTTTCCGGGGTGAGGCCACGTCCGGAAGCCTTTGTGTGCGGTGTGCACATGAGTGTGTGTGCATCCCAGCCTATATCTGGGTCCTAGGCCTTGCCCTCGGCCTCGCATGCACCTACTCTCAACGAGCTATACCCCAGCTTCCTTGTTACCTCCCTGCTGTATCTGTGGGACGAGCCAGGATCTGTGCTTCCTCAGAGTTCGCCCACTGCTGGAGGAATTTCGTGAACTACTCGCCAGGGCAGGAGGCGCGCTGGCCCCAGGTGCCGCCCGTGTGGACCTGGCTGTACTCGCTGGAGCTGCACTGCATCCTGCTCGTAAGTGGCTGGGGCACAAATGCTGCTGCAGGAAGAGCCTTCCCACCCCCAGCCTCTCTCCTGACAAGCGGCACACTTGCTCTATGTGGATTTTCACACTGAGGTTTGGTTGTTAAACTCCCCAACTCATGGCCCACGCCATGCTGCTAGTGCTGAGGCTGAGGCAGGAGGAACATGAGTTTGAAGCTGGCCTGGCTACACAGTTTAAGACCCACCAAGAGACTGTCTCAGAAAGTCAAAAAAAAAGAAAGAAAAGAAAATCTGAAAATAAGACCTTTGGTGGTAAACGTGTTGGAGGAAAGAATGGGTAAATTAGCCTAAGATATACATATATGAGCCCCATATTAATTCCTGTTATCATTATTGGGTTTTTTTGTGTGTGTTTGTGTGTGTTTCCTGTTGTGCTTTGTTTGTGGAGCTGCAGATTGAAACTTGGGGGCTTGCCTCTGAATTATATCCCCAGTCTTTTAAAACTTTTATTTTGAGAAGCTCTCTAAATCGCTCAGTTGCCCAGGCTGGGTTGAATTTGCAATCCTTCTTCCTCAGCCCATAGGGTGTGGGTGTTGCAGGTTACAACTGTGCACCACCAGGCTTGGCAGCTATCTTACACGATCCATCACCAGAGAAAATGGCCCCAAATATGAACCTAGCTATCCTGTATCATCTAGCTATCTACCTGGATCTATCTAATCTAGGTATCAGGGCATCCACTGAGCTACAACCAGAGCTATAGCTTTTGGTTTGTTTGTTTGTTTGTTTGTTTGTTTGTTTTTGGACACAAGCTTTTTCTAAATTGCCCGGCTTGATCTTGAAATTCTGATCCTCCTGCCTCAGCTTCCCAGAGTGCTGGGATTACAGGCATTTGCTACCACACCCAGCTTGTTATTGTCATTTTTTGTTTGTTTGTTTGTTTGTTTTGAGACAGGGTCTCGCTATGTAGTTCAGGCTAGCTTCAAACTCACTATGTAGCCCAGGCTGGCCTCAAACTCATGGCGATCCTCCTGTCTCAGCCTCCTGAGTGCTGGGATTACAGGTGTACTCCACCATACCCAGCTCAAGTTTTGTTTTGTTTTTTGGCAGGGTCTCGTCTGTAATCTGGGCTAGATTAGAACTCCTTGAACTCACTAAGCAGGCCAGGCTGGCCTTGAGCTCAGAGCATCCTCCTGCCTCAGCAGGGTGCTAGGCTTGGGAGTCTGCGCCATCATACCTGGCTCTCCTCATTATGGCTGCTATTGTCACGGCTCACAGTGGCTCTGCAGCACTTCAGACCACCCCTTTCCCTTACCTGTGTGTCATCCTGTTGGAGAAATGCAGGTGTCCCATTCGGCTGCTTGGAAGTCCCTCAGTGTTCTTCCAATTGACATTTTAAATGTTCATGCTCATGATCGTATTAATTAAATATTTGTCCTAAGGGTAAAATATAATTCTTTTTTATTACAGAATCTTCCACCCTGTTTAAAGATTTCAAGAAGACATCACAATCAGCTTACATTTTTCCAACTTATTCTTCAAAATTGCCATTACCAAGCAATTCCGTCCCCTGTCCTTTTAGCCTCGGGGTTGATACATCCTTTTGTGACCTGGGCTTGAGCAGAAAGTGTGTACATTGCGTGTACACTGTCGCAGGAGTAGTGTTCATGCCTCCTAGGGAGTGAGGGCCATCTGGAATCCAGAATTGGGCCGGGAGTGTGGACTACAGGCAGGGTGTTGTCCACCAAGTGTGAGGCTCTGGGTTCAAACCCCAGAAATGAGATAAAAAGAAAAAAAAAGAATCTAGAAATTTTCACAAACAGCTATATCACATATTGTGTGTTCTCTGCCCTGTCCCAAATTACCCTAAAACTTTGCACCCTCAACTAACAGTAAATATTTATTTTGACCATAGTTTTTGTGGCTCAGTTCTGAATGTGTGTGTGTGTGTGTGTGTGTGTGTGTCTGTGTCAGGCCTGGGGCTCCCCTGAGGCGACCTCAGGGGCCCCCAGAGCCCAGGGACCGAGCCCCCCACTCATGGCCTGGAGAGGCGGGCAGAGGGTGTGGAGGGCGTCACTTCCGGCCATGCAGGCGCCCCCGGGGCTGCTCCACAGCCTGGCAGCTGCTTTCCCCCAGAGCCAGGGGCCTGGGGACAGCAGGGCGGGCCTGTCCCCATCTTGCGACTGAATCCTGGACTCGCCCTGCTCGCACGTGCAGCTGCGGGTCGCTGTGCGGCACTCGAGTCCCGGCCGAGACCATGGGCAGCCAGCTTGGGTCCCTTCGGGGCCTAGGGACTTTGTCCGTCTTCCGGACAAGCCATTCCACGGCGCCGGCCTCCAAGACATCGCTAGAGGGAGACAAACCACACAGCAGAGTTCTGTTTCTTTTCGTGTCGGCACCTAACAGGATTTGTTTTCTTTTTTGTGGCGTTGGAAACGGAAGCCGGTGCCTCCTCTACCCAGGCCCGTCCCGCGCCGCGCTCCAGGCGGAGAAATCAGCTGCCCCCGGAGGAAATCAGAACGCGCCTCGGAGGGCAGGGCTCGGAGCCGCCACTGGGGGCGCTAGCAGGCTGAGAGGCCCCCGGGCCGGGTCGCAGAGCAAACACGGGGAGGGAAGGGGACCCAGGCGGGCCTCAGGGACCCGCGAGGGCCAGACTGGCTCGTCCTTGGCTGGCTTGCTCTCCCCGGGTTATGGGAACAGGGCCGTCTCCTGGCTGTCCTGTGAAGGCAGGGTATGTTTTGTTTTCTGGTTTTGCCTTTTTTTGGTTTTGTTTTTGGTACCGGGGATCGAACTCTGGTCCTTGCACCTGGCGCAGCAGGCGGCGAAACCACTGAGCTAAATCTCTGGCCCTGGTTTTGCCTTTTTGATACTGGGGACTGAATCTAGCACCTAGAGCTCGCTGGCAAGCATTCTGTCCCTAAGCCACACCCCCAGCCCTCTGTGCAGCGTTGTAAAAGCTGCTGTGACAGATACCATTTACTAGTTGTTCTCACAAAAAAAAAAAAAAAAAAAACAAAAAACTTTTTTTTTTTGGTACCGGGGATCGAACTCGGGTCCTTGTGCTTGTGCAGCAGGCAGCAAAACCACTGAGCTAAATCCCCAGCCCTATCATTTTTTTTTTGTACTGGGGATCAAACCCAGGCTCACTGGTGGCTACACAGCCAGTCTTTGTTTGTTTGAGACAGGATCTTGCCAAGACACTAACATGCCTAGGGTCGGCTGGGACCTGTGATCCTTCTGCCTCAGTTTGCCAGCATGTTGGGATAACAAGTGTGGAGCAACACCCCCACCTAGAAAAAGACTTACATTAGGTAAAATCTTGTCAAAGGTTAAGAGTCAGTTTCTCCCATTTCCTTTTATTCACACAAGATGAACAATGTAAACTTTCTTTTTTTGCAGTCCTGTGGATTGCGGGGCCTCCCATATGTTCAGCAGGTACTTTACCACTGAGCTATATATCTTTGTCTTAAATGTTGAACATAGTGTCCATACTCTACAGGTTAACTACAAATCTGACATTTTATTCCTGCTTTTTTTTTTTTTTTTTTTTTTTT